TCCCATTTAATGCTCACAGCCATATGCGGTCACGTGCGGTCCTGTGCAGCGTTCACGGTCACATGCGGTCATACGCGGTCCTGTGCAGCATTTGCGGTCACATGCGGTCATGCGCGGTCCTGTGCAGCGTTTGCGGTCACATGCGGTCACGCGAGGTCCTGTGCAGCGTTCGCGGTCGTACCTTGGCCTTGCCAGTGCTCTGCAGGATGTGCACCAGGGCACAGGCCACCTCCTCCTTGCTCTTGACGCTGAGCAGGGGCTCCAGCACGGCGCACAGCGTGCGGTAGTTGTTGGTGACGTACTCGGCGAACTCCTTGTACAGCTCCATGGGCAGGATGCTCATGGTCTGGTAGCGGGACTTGAGGCGCAGGGAGGCGTTGATGACCTTGCCTCCCCCGACGCCCCCTCCCTTGGCCAGGACGCTGGGCTGGATGACCGGGTACCACTGCTCCACGAACTGCCGGCCCGTGATGCTGGAGATGGGGATGCTGACCAGGCCCAGGTAGGTGCTCTTCTCCTGGATGGGGGCGGGGCAGAGGGCGTGGTCACAGGTGAGACCGTTCCCATTTTGTGGTCACAGGTGAGACCGTTCCTGCCATTTCTGCAAGCCGAGGGGAAGCTGGACACGGCCACCTATGCAGCTTAAACCCACCTGACTAACAACCTGTCACTGCAATGCCACTGACAAATTAGGGAACACCTTTCTACAGGCGTTACACAGCACGACTCTGACAAAACGTGCAACAACACACCACTCTGACAGATGCTTAATGCACATGGAAAGTTTTCATTTCACCAAATTTCCAAACTCGCAAAGCTTTGTAGGAAACAAAACTTTTGTAAGCGCAGTAGATCAATGCCTCTGCTTGACAGGGACACATCACTGATTACTGGTACGGACACTTTAGGCTTTAGACACTTTAGGCAAAGGAGGCTTTAAACCTGTTTCGACAGTCTGCATTAATAAACAGTGCGCAACGTTCAGTGTTTATCCTCAGTATGGGAGCGGTCCTGTACCTTACATCACAGAACATCCTCCAAAAGGCACGTAAAGACTGCCGTGTGAGACAGTCAAACTCAGGGAAAGTGCTGAACAGCTAAAACCTTGGGCTTTTTAATCATTAAAGGATCTCATTATGCTAAACTAAAAGAGTGTCCTTTTCATCTATGTTCCTGCCAGTCTGTATCTTGGTAATCAAGGTGTGCTGTTTCTTCTCCTTTGACAGCCTTGTGCGATGTTCTCAGCCTTTATGTATCAGAGTTTTAAGGACTAAATGCCCAGTACGACCAGTACAATCACTGAAGACTTTCCCAGGAGTTCTTTTCAATTACTTCCTCCAGAGGACTTAAAATGTTAAATTATATCTGTAAGGTAAATCACAACCTTTTCCAAAGGACAGGCCGAGCCCCTTCAGGAAGACTTGATTTAGTCAAAGCAGTCATTTTCGTGATGTTAGGTAAGTAAGGCCTGCCTGACCTAATTCCCTGAGAGTCTCTGTTTTGTAGGTTTTTCTGTTCCCCTTAAAAATCTCCCGCATGGGAGAAGTTTAATTAAAGCAAGGCATTCATAAAAGCAAGTGCCTGAGTGGTGGCATGAAACCCTGTTGTATCCCTGCTAAACTGTGAACCTTCGGGGTCTGATCTGGTCAGCTGTGCTCTGGGTGTTATTACAGTCGAGGTACAATGTTACAGCGCTGCAGTCACAGCAGTAATAACACTGTAAAAACACAGTAATAATGCTGTAAATACACAGTAATAACGCTGTAATAACAGACGGCGGTACCTTGCGCCTCTTCTTGTCGGTCTCCTTGTAGAGGTGCAGGCGCAGGCTGCGGACGGCGGGCAGGTTGTTGAACTCGAAGTGCTCGCCCCAGAAGACGGTGTCGGTGCGGGGCTTGCTGGTGGTGCGGGCGTACAGCATGTCGTCCAGGCACAGCTCGCAGTAGTAGCGCTTCTTGGCCGGCAGCTCCCGCGCCTCGATGATCCACAGCTTCAGCACGTTGTCCACCCGCCGGCTGTTGTCCTGAAGGGCGGCGGGAGACGGAGAGGGTGATGGAGGGGCGGGGCGGGGCGGGGCGGGGGGCAGGGCGGAGCGGGAGGAAACAGGGAGAGTAGGCGGGGCCAAGAGACAGGGAGAGAGTGGGAGGGACAGAGAGACAGAGAAGAGAGAGAGAATGGGCAGAGCAGATAAACAAGGAAAGTGGGAGGAGCAGAGAGACAGAGAGAGAGTGAGTGGGGCAAAGAAACAGAGACAGGGAGAGAGTGGGTGCAACAGAGTAACAGAGAGTGAGTTGAGCGGAGAAAAACAGAGAAAGTAGGCAGAGCAAAGAGACAGGGAGATTGGGAAGGGCAGAGAGACAGGCAGAGAGTGGGTGGAGCAGAGAGACAGGCAGAGTGGGTGGAGCAGACAGTGGGCGTGTTAAGGGGGAGGAGAGGGGAATGATGGGAGAATGTGGGGCATCAGGGCGGGGCAGACAGGGAGAGTGGGAAGAGGAAGAGGGTCATGTGGGCTGAGAGGGACAGGCCTGCTGCAGCACACACCACACACAGCCCGGCTCGAGAGGGGCGTGAGGACGAGGACGAGGAGGAGGACGAGGGCGAGGAACGCGAGAGGAGCAGGCATCTGGCTAGGCCACCGCACAGCGTCCTGCTAATCGGTGGTTCGGATCGCGTGGGACGCGCAGGTTCCGCGGGGCTTTGCGCAGAATGACGCCTTCAGCTGTAAGGTGAGTCACTCGCGCACAGCCAGGCTGCTGCTGGGCCGCTCCGCTCCGCAAAAGCCGAATTTAGATCACCTGAGGAACCTGTCACTCCCTCACCATCCCTCCGACAGCACGGCGCGCCCGTCAGCAAATCGCCAAACACGGGAGGCTGATTACTCCCACGAGGTAATCAGCGCGCACGTCAGAGGACTCCAGCGCACAACGCACGATCGCTAATAAACCGAGGAAACGCCATTATACCCACCGATCCGCGCAAGAACGGCATCTTCCGCAGATAAAGTCGTGTAAAAACTCTCGGAGCCCCGTGACTCAGTCGGGATGACTCCCGCTGTCAGGGCGTTCAGATGAGTCAGGCGGTGCATGTGAGATATTTATAGGACCGCTGCTTGATATAGCACAGCTTCCTGTTTGCCACCAACTCCGCTAACACGCTGTGTCTCCGGGTTCTAATGATTTTGGGATAGGAGACTGAACCAGAGGTTAAATATAGCAACAAGAAATGAAAACCTTGCATACTTTATTAAGACTTCGGTCCCCTCCACCGCAAGTTCCATTAGGGGTAAGAGAGATGGGTTTCACGAACCAAAGGTGAAGGCACTGTTTGCTGTTGATGGCTTATTTACACAAGCCAATCAGAGGACTTTGCTCTCCAGTGCAAAGCAGCACGATTGGCTCCAACTGATGAGTCACTGATGCCATATGAGCAGCACCGCCTCATTGGAGGTTGATGAAGTGTGACTGAACTGTGACTGAAACTCCTCGAGACTCCACACCAGGGAGGCGCAAAGCGTGTGATCGTCCCAGATGCACAGTCTCTGCCATCAAACACTCAAGGGCGCTGCAAAGACGCTCACAGTAATCCCAGCTCCGCCGGTTTCAGTGCAGAGCCTGGACATGCTGCCAGTGAGGCTGGATTATGTCTGAGCATCGGCAGGGACTGAGGTCTGAATCAGACCGGCGCATCACTGACTCGTCTGACCGCTTGCTTCCTTACTTTCTATGGCAGCCCTTACATTCTCGTGCAAAACAAGAAAAAAGAGAGAACGAAGTGAAAACCTCACGGAGTGCACAACAAGTGGGGTGAGAGCAGGAAGCGCACATACACACACATATAAACACACAAATACACATACATACACACACACACAGACACACACAAATAAACACACACATGCACACACATACACACACACACAGACACACACAAATAAACACACACATGCACACACACACACACACACACACACACACACACACACACACACACAAACACACACATGCACACACACACACACACACACACACACAGACACACACAAATAAACACACACATGCACACACACACACACACACACACACACACACACACAAACACACACATGCACATACATACACACACAGACACACACACACGCACATACACCCACAGATGAGACAGATGTTTCCTCCCTCCTTTCCTCCGTTTCACTCCTCTTTTTTCACCTTGTTGGGTTTGATGGCTCTCTGCAGGTTCTCGATCCATTTGTCCCTCTCCGCGGCTGAGCGGCAGGCGAAGCACTTCGTCCCCGAGGCCGTCGTCACCTGAGGTCACCGACAGGAGCATCAGTAACTGGCAGCGGTGTGGGGGGTCTGGGGGCATCACGGCTGGCACAGTGGCAGATGGGCTGACATTATCGCAGCTTTTCATGTAAAAAAAAGCACTCGGGAAAACGCAGTCTACTTCCAGTCAAGCACCCCTGTCAAATCCTGTGACGCTCTGGGTTTGTAAATCCATTTTAATCACTCTGCGCTGTATCACTTTATTTGAGGAGCATGCTGTATACCGCACCCTTATTCACCTACATAATGAGTCATAGTACTGACATATTCATTCACACACACACACACACACACACACACACACACACCACATACACAAACACACAGGGTCCTCAAGGCAGCACCTCTGCTGGAGAGGAAAGGTTTGAGGTCAAAAATTGCAATATCAATCACATAGCCTGCTCACGTACACACTCACACACACACACCCCCCCCCGCACCTCGAAGCAGTACTCCTGGCCCAGGATGCTGGAGTGGACGGGTTTGATGATGGCGTCCTCGTCCAGCGTGAGGTCCAGGGCCTCGGCCGCGCTGCTGGGGGACAGCAGGGACTCATGGGAGTGCGACTCCTTAAAGCTCTGCATCAGCCGAGTCCTGGGGGAGAGAGAGCTCTCATTACATTACATTACGTTACATAATAGGGCAGTTTTGGGCTGAGTACCTCACCCAAGTGTAAAGCAGCAGTGGCCCAACAGGGAATCGAACCCGCAACCTTTTGGTTATGAGCCCTGCTCCTTGCCACTATGCTACACTGCTGTGTCTCAGCATGGGCTGACCTCCACAGAGATCCTGCTCCCAGCATCCATGCAGTCCTTCTGTGGGTCTCATACTGTCTCTGTGTATCATCAGTGAGTCAACTGGCTGGTTTTCACTCTGTGTGTATCTTTATGTCATCAGTGAGGCAATGATTGGCTGGTTTTCACTCTGTGTGTATCTTTATGTCATCAGTGAGGCAATGATTATCTGGTTTTCACTCTGTGTGTATCTTTATGTCATCACAGAGGCTACCATAGGTTGGTTTTCACTCTGTGTCTATCTTTAGGTTTCTGATAAGGCTCCAACAGCTTTGGCACAAAAGTCACTGATCTCATGAACATTTAATGTTTAGATATGAGATTCCACATTCCACATAAAAGCATAATTTTATTACAGTCATTTGCAGAAACTTTTATCTACAGTGACTTACATAGCTTGGAGTACCTACATATTATCCACTCATTCCATATTTCCTGAGGAAGTTCCAGTTAAGTACTTTGCCCAAAGGTAAAACAATACCCCACTGTGGAATCAAACCAGCAACTACAGCTGCCCCCATTGCATAACGTGTTAAAAAAAGAAACGGAAAAGGGCAACTGCTAGTTTCACTAAAATATATAAACAGCTCAATCCCTCACTGAGATCAGTTGAGATCGCTGATGCTCTACATCGGTTCCCGTCTGACTGCTTAGCCAATAGGATTTCCTCTGACTGTTGGAGTCCGCTGTGATGAACTAGGATGAGCTGTTAGCTAAATACCCGAAGGGATTGTTTCAGAGGCGAATTGATGCTCTCTCCAGCATGTTCCGTCCATTTAGATCCAACAAACGTCTTGAAAGTGCTTAAACAGGCCTACCAGCTGGGCCTGGCAGTCTTTTAGTGAGGCGACTGAGGACCTGTTTGCTCAGAAGGCCCTTTGTGAACACAGGAAAAAATCAAAATCTGAACTATAGAGACGATTCTTTCCTTTAGAAAACCCACCGGGCGTTTGATCCAACCCAAGTCGCTCAGACCTCATGTTTGAGTCTATTTCCTACGCCTGAAGGGAATCTCACCATAGCGGCTCTGAGGTTTTTATCAGTGATGGGTATCAGTTTGGACTCAACGCAAGACCAGAGCTTTCCAATTTGAAGGCTTTCATTAAACAACATGCTGTTTCAGAACAAGGCAAAGCTATGACTACAAATACCAACAGTTTTGACAAGGGGTAGAAGTGAAAAAAAGGTGTGCATTCGTGTCACAGGAATCCCACTGAGTGTGACTACTCCTTTGACTTATTGCCGATTGCTGACTTCCTGCCCACAATCTTTACAAAAAACAAAAATCCTGTGCCAAAACAGTGCCTTTAATGATCCACACCACGCCTGGTAGAAACATTAATCAATTAAGCAGCTGCTTATTCTTTGGTTAACAGCATCCTGTTGCCATTTGTATAACATTTAATCACACTGCTCTGTGTCTCTCTCTTCCCCTGTTTCCATAGCAAAAGGGTGCTTTTATTTCCCGGTGAAACGCTTAATACAGAAAGCACACATTTTTCACACATTCCAATTAAATTTGAATCAATGGATTCCAGTGGATAATTGCAGGCAGGCTGGCCAAGGCGGACAAAAACACTGAAATGATAAATTTAAGGAAAGCTGCCACTCTTTTGGAAGGCAAATTAAATTTCTGTGATACTAGACAGTATTATTTATGGACACAAGTGTGGCATAGCACTTACTCTCAAACGGTTGATGACAATGTATTTCCATTTCCGTGGGAGGGGGGCAGAAAGCCCCAAGGCCAGACAACCATGGCAACACATCCATTCCATTCCATTGCATTCTATTCCATGTCTTACATTCCATTTTTCAAATTCAGCCATTCTATTCTAACAATGCCAGCGTTGTGCATTGGAGACCCCCTGTTCCTGGTCTTTGTGTCAGCTCAGCCTCTAATTACCACATTGGACTGGACAGCAGCCCAGGCACCGGTGACCACTGAACACCTTTAGAGCTGACATTTTTTGGTTTTTTTTTTTTGGTTTGCAAAGGCAGAGCACGGAATTCTGACACCTGCATTTCTGCTATTCCTAATTTTGGAGGACAGAAAAGGATAAAAGATGACGACAAACAGTGCTGATTATATACTGATTACATGCAGTTCCAGCATTCAAAGCATTCGGGAGGCAAACTGTTTCTCCTCATCAAAATATCGACAGTCTGGAGTGAAGTAAAAATGTTATGTGAACAAGCCCCTGCTATCCGGCTAGGAATAAGTGCAGCTTTTCAGGCTGCGGCATTTTGCACAGTATAAATACGCTTAGTTCTGCTTGACTCATCTGGGTCCTGGACCCGTCATTTCTTGGGTCAGCAAACCTACAGAACTGTGCACCCAGGTCAGATAGCTGTGAAAGCATCTCTGGTTTGCCTCAGGTATAGCGAGCCCATCGTTAAAACGGGTCAGTGGAAACCTGGCCCTGCTGAGGTTGAGACGTGTCTGTGTAACCCCCTGGAGTCTGGGTCTCTCTGGGACACCACTGGTCTTTTTCATTCCATTCAGCCCATTCGGTACCATCAAGTTCACAAAAAACAGACACAACTACTGAATAGGATTACAGGTTTCTGTGAGGACATGCACACATCTACACGTAATTCAAACATTGATGAATTCAGTCTCAAACATAAGGCCTCACACAAACACACAAACACAGCAGTTCAGGTTAGCTTTGAAAGAAAACTTTTATGGACATTCACATGTGCACATACAATCCAGATCGATCCGGATGGGGCAGTGCGGGACGGGGGAAGGAGGTTCGGTACCTGTCCTGGTCAGCGCTTCGGAAGCGTGGCAGAATCATGTGGCGGAAGCTGCTGGTTCGTTCCAGTTTTGGCTGAGACTTTGCCCGTTTGATGGAACCCTTCAACCGTCTACTGAGAAAGCTCTGGGGGAGGAGCACAGGAGAGGGGGGAGCTATGTTAGATAAGGAGCAGGAAAGGGGTGGGGCCAAATTGAACAAGGAGCAAGAGAGGGCGGAGCAAGGTAAAAGAAATGCAGGAAGGGGCAGGGCCAGGTTAAACAAGGAGCAGGAGAGGGGCGGAGTTATGTTAGGCAGAGGATGCATGAAAGGGGCACAGTCGATTTAAACACAGGAGAGAAACATGGAGGAGAAACAGGATTAGCAAGAGAGAACAGGGAGGGAAGGAAGGGGGGACAGTTTTAGCAAAGAAAGGACAGACAGTAAACATGTAGGAGCAATAAAGTGAGATGAACAAGTCCAGCACCAGAGAAGAGAGATAAAATGAGTCATATATGGGACATGGAGATAGACAGTGATTGTACACAGGAGCATTTATTAAGCTGAGGTGCCAGGAAACAAAGGGGCAGAAAGAGGCACTTGAATTTAACCCATCAGTAATCTCAAGCATTAATAGCCCACACCAACCGCTACATTTCCATTAGATGACCAACAGAGGGGGGTGTTGGACCACAAATGTGGTCAGAGCCTACAGACAATGTCTTGACTGGGTTTTACTGTATTTGTAGATCGCAATACTTAATCAAAATCAGGGTAAATATTTACAAAATGTCGGGCCTGACAAAAGGAGGAAAAAGAAAGATATTGGCTGTAACAGTATTCAACTGTGTGAGTGCCATCGCACAAAGGAATTTAGGAGGAATTGTCAACCATCGCAATGAGCACACTTTCTGTACACTCATCCTGGCCGTCATTAAGAGGAGAATGAGTGTGGTTGTAACATGGGGCTCTACAACATAAAAGCTAACCTAAAAAGCTAATCTACGATTTTTTAAGTCAGCCCAGAATGAATTACATATGAAAGATCGTACAGTCCCCTTCAATGTCACTGACACAACATTTTCACAGCTTTCACGAGTTGAACCTTTGAAGACCCTGCAGTAAACCACTTCAAATGATAAATAATATTGTAGTACTAATAAACATCAGTAACATACCATACCTACTTTAACAAAGTGCCACAAAGCAGCAAAATGAACACTGTGTTATTTCCCAGCTTACTGACTGTAAGCTAAAATTCCAGCACAGATGCATCTGAACAAGCTTATATCTGTGAGCTAAAATTCTAGCACAGATGCATGTTAATGGACTTATGCCTGTGAGTTAAACTTCCAGCTCTGACACACCGGAACAAGCTTCTGCCTGTGAGATAAAATTTCAGCACAGACCCATCTGAACACACTGCTGCCCTAGAGCCAGGCACCAGCATGGCAGAATGCTGCTCCTGCCTTCGTGGCCACTGGCTTTACAGAATGAATGAGAGACAAAAGCAGAGGCAGAGAAAAGAGGGAGAAGGGTAAGGCCTATTACATCACGCGCCTGTATCCTGGCTCTGTAACCCCGCTGTTGCCAGTACATGTAGATCGAGATGGGAGTTCAGCAACATGTCTCTGAAAAATCATTCACGTAAACTGGCCTCTTACCATAGCGATGGTGGTGCATTCGCGTTTAAAACCCCAGCGTTCCACGTTCGGTCACGGTCAAACCTACGAAGGGTCTGATTGGTACTCGAGACCCTTCTCCCTCCACACCTGTGTGCAGAATACTGCACCCGGCTGCCAGGCGACAGAGCAGGGGCTCTGTGGGGGACCAGCCTGCCGTCGCTCAGGGTGACTAACGCCGGCCTTATTTAAAGGTCTGTCCATCACTTTATGACTGTAACACGGACAGGAGACACGCCACCCCGGCCATTCATTCCATTCCATTGTTGTCATTTAGCAGACGCTCTTATCCAGAGCAACTTGCACAGGTTACAGTTGTTTTATATGTTATCCATTTATACAGCTGGATATTTACTGAGGCAATTCTGGGTTAAGCACCTTGCCCGAGGGTACGGCGGCAGTGCCCCGGTCGAGCTGAGCAGCGCGCGCCGGGTTGGACGTACCTCGACCGACAGCAGGGGTGCCACGCTGTGTCCCGCCGCTGCCGGATTTGAACCCGCGACCCTCCAGTCGCCAGCGGAGTGCGTGAGAGAGGCGGA